GGATCTATTTTATTGTCATGTCTAAATGAGTAGGCCTCTGCCCCCCCCACCATAAAAGGAAATCTCAGTGGGATCATCGTCAATGAACTCCTCTGAAACCTGCAGTGAGGTGGACATGGAGAACATGGGGTTTTGTTTTGTGCGCAGAAGCTCTGCCTCGAACGCCTCTGGTGTGAGCACCCGTTTTCTTTTGCTTCCACCCCCTCCCACTGAGCACCCAGTGCCCCTCCTCCCACCATGCTCATTATCCTCATTGCCATTTGTAAAGGACTGGGACGTGCCACCGTCTACACAAACAAACACGGGGCTGCAGTGTCCTGCGGCCTCACTGCTAGAAGCACCTTGAAACTAGAAGTGCGACGTGGAAGCGGCCTTAACGGGATCTTCCTTCGGAGGGCTGGGGGGTCTAGTGGTTTGCAGAGGGGGCTGCTGTTGCTGCTGAGGAGGTGCTGGAGACTGGCTCAGTGGGGACAAAGGTTGGGGCTGAGGTGGAAGTTCAGTTCGAGGAAGAATCTTTGACATGTGGACTGGCTGGAAGGATTCAGCGATGGAGGACGAGAAGCTCAGGTCTCGGGGACAGTCACTGAATATCAAACTCTGAAAGGGGGGAGGGAGACAATAACATTTAAACAGAGGGGAAAAAAGCATAAATTCTGGTACAATTTGAGAAAAGCTTTTGCTTTACATTAAGAAAAAAAGACATTTATGTATTCACCTGTTTTGGCAGATCGGTTGTGAAGGAGCGAGCAGACATTCTGACTTTACTGTTCCTCCTGAACAAAAACAAACCATGTTAAAATAATTAATGACTTTTACAGAAATCACATGATTTGTCACATTTCCAGTGTACACACACACTAAACACACACCTCTGGTAAGGCGTCCTCTTTGCTCCATTTTCTCTGACATATTCAACAAGCTGCTTCTGCGTCCGTCCACTGACAGAGAACATTAAATTATGAACCTTTGTTGCAAATGATTTTCCCATTTAATGGTAAAAACAATTACTTAAAAAACATAAGTGAAGACAAATCTCATTGATTGTGACATGAGGTCATACCTGTATCTGAAGGAGGAGCCTCGAGTAAAAAAGGATTGCTTTGGATTTGGGCTGAGGCTGATCAAACAAGCGGAAAAACGAGTGGTATTCAACACAGATCTTCCAGAAGTTTTTACACTCGTCTCGACTAGCCATCATGAATTCAAGGAT